TGGGTTCTGAAATCATCTCTCAAGTTTTACCACTGTATCTATTTCACCTGTGAATTAAAAAAAAAAAAAAAATCTTGGTGAGCTATAAATGGGAGGGGTTGGTAATGGACAACAGGAGGGACAATTTTTTTTGTTTCCTTTTCATTCCAACTTCCAAAGCATTTAGGAACTGAGTGAATTGTTGAAATTGTTGCAACAGGAATGCCATCAAGTAACTTGGGTGTGGAATGTCATGTTTGTCTTATTCTAACTTGGCCTGAATGAGTGGATGAAGGCGAAACAAATTGCAAAGTGTGAGTGCTTATTAGACATTGTCAAAGGAGCAAACTAGACAAATGGAGGCCGCAGAAATGACCAGTGTTAAGCAGAACTAGGAGGGTTGAGACTTGCTGAAGCACCAGGAGTGTCAAGCTTCGTCAGCCTCTGCCGATCCCAGGGTCCCTGGGGGTTGAGGGAGAACGGCCATTCTCAGCACTCTGTGGACAGCAGGGAATGGGAGATCCGGGAATGGGCACTGAGGCTAGCAGGACTGGCCCCTCAGATACGTGTTGGAACCACTGAAGAGCACCTGGGTTTTGTAGATGTTTAGCCACCCACCTGATGCTGATGTTTCAAGCAGAACCTGGAGGAGGAGGGAGGCCTCTGCCCTGAATGCGATGGCTGAGCCATCTGGCATTGCAGCTGACCTGGAAACAAATCTAGTACATTTCAGACCTGAGTTACAGCTGGCAGGGGGAAACCTTGGAGACAGGTGGTTCCCTCAACAGCTGTACTTCCAGTTAGGGCCAGCAAGAAAGAAAATTTCATGCTCATTGAGCCTGCCTGGGTTTTCTGGGATCTCTCTTAGCTCCCTGACCTTTTTCTATCATAATTACCATGTCGGGGCAAATAATAATACTTCTTCCTGCCTTACTGAGATAGTCTGTGCAGGTCAATGAATCTATGATTTTAAGTGAATATGTTAAGTGATATATGAATAAAAAACGACTATGGCCGTTAGCTGGGAGAACACTCATAGAAACAATAGTCTGTCCAATACATTTTCATTTTCAAAATGTACCCAGGTCCCATTGCAGGAGAAGTACTGACTTCTGCATGGAAGGTGACTCTCTAAATTTGGAGGTGTCTACTCTGCAAATTTTAAGATAACTTAGCCAAACACTGTTTTAATTAAGTGAGTCATTATGTGTGCACAATGAAGTTATAAACCATTTTTAAGCCCAGTAAAGGTAAAAAACAATTTGTTTTTGTTTTTTTTTTTAATGCTGAATGAAACACTGTGGCTATATATGCACGCAATTTGTAATTTGAGGGTATATGGAAGATCTTAGGCAGACATGGCTTTTATTTACTGACTTAGAAGTAATAAAAGTAACACACTGTTCCCTAACTCATTCAGGAGCCAGATTATGAAACCAAAAGAAGACTCTTGGGGTGATATTTCCGGACTTGACATCTATCCCAGGACCCCCACATCGGTACAGGTTGTTCACCACATGGGAACACCCAAATGAGACAGGGAGTGGGGCAGAAATGCAGCCTCTGCCCTGTCCGCCAAGCTGCAAAAAGGGGCAATGTACACTTGGAGGTGGGACCCTGTTTTCCGATCCTCAGGGTTTTCAAGCTGCTTGCCAAGCCTAACACCTGTGGCGCTGAGCTGCAGGTTAGTGGCAAGTGAGCCAGCAGTGACATCACCCATGTCCTCTAGGACATCCTCCTGTGGTATTAGGGTAAGACTGGAGCTTATCTTGGTATAATCTTAAAAAATCTGTTTTAAATGGATAGTTTGAAGAGGATCCCTAGTAATCAGCTGCTGAGTTCACTATAGCAGGTACACAGGCAGGGCAGGCCTGGGGTGAAATTGGTAAGAGCTGGAGATTTGGGGTATCTTCCTATGTTCTCCTCTGTACACTAGTCAACCTTGTTCCTTTCTCCTCCTCAGTCATTTTCCCCAAACTGCTCACACACCATCTTCAGACTCGTACTTCTGGAAGAAAGAAAGTAAGAAAGAAACAAACAACAAAAAAGATGCCCTTCTATTCAACGGAAGAAACTTGTTCTTGGAGTAGCCAAATTGATAGTAAAATGTAAATGACTAAGAATGATTAAATGTCTCCCTCCCCCAGGGTGGCATTTGAATACTGGTGTAGCATCTGGACCCAAGGTTCTCAGGGACTTTGGCCGAGATTTAGTCTGGGTGAGAAGGCAGGTATGCTTCCTCCATTCCTCCACCCACTGTGTTGCTAGCTCTGCTGGGAGGCCCATGTAGTCCCTCCACATGCAGCTTCTCTTTTCCTGTTGCTTTCATATTCTCGTTGTGCTTAGTTCCTCTTTTTCAGTCCCCTGTCACCACCACCCCCTTTTTAAAAGGCCAGTTTGAACTTCTCATTCTTGCCTCTGAGCATTTCTTTTTTATCTCCCCAAACTTATTCTTCCTCAGTTTTCCTTCTTTTCAGCCAAGCAAACTGCTCCACCTCTATATCTTTTTAAATTATCTCGCCCCAGGAAGCTACCTGCTTGAAGTATCAGATTCTGCCTCTTTTTTTGAATCTGTATTAAGTGAAGTTGAAGTTCAGAACTTCTCTGTTGCTTCCTTGCCTGAAAGCTGACTGTAATCCTAGGAGAAGGAAAGCAGAACTTGTTGAGAGTGTTTGTTGGAAGCATTCAAAAATCTTTTCCTTTTTTTTGTTTTGTTTTGTTTTGATACCAGAGATTGAACCCAGGGGGGGTGCATAAGCACTGAGTCATTTCCCCCAGGGGAACCCTTTTTAATATATTTTATTTAGAGAGAGAATCTCACTAAATTGCTTAGGGCCTCACTAAGTTGCTGAGGTTGGTCTTGAACTTGCAGTCCTCCTGCCTCAGCCTTACAGACAGCTGGGGTTGCAGGCATGTGCCACTGCACCCAGCTCCTGATATTCTTTCTGTACTAAGCCCAGTACAGCATGGTTGGTATTTTTCTCTCTCCAAAAATGATTACAACAGATGACTGGAAACTGGGACTTTCCTGTTTGAATTTATTGCTTGCATTGAAGCAATTCCTGAAGCTTCTCTGGGGCTTGCATTACCCCAAAGAAGTTAAGATAGCTAGTTAAGTTTATCAGTTTAGTAAAATATGGACCATCACATATTTAAACTTAAACAGAGCAGGGGCATATGAACCCTGATTAAAGAAGTCAAAATAGCTGACGCACAGGCCGTATAAAAATGGTCAGTCTGCCCATGGTTCTTTAAGGAGACTTCCTAATTGTCTGTTATCTCTATCAGTCATTCAAATGATACATTTGAAGGATTTCTCATCTTTGGATGCCTGGCATTTTTTTTAAATGCCAAGAAACCAAGGAGGCACCTAAGGTTTTGCATATTGAAGCTTGGTAGACTGGCTGAATCCAGTGTGGGACAGCAGGTTCGGAATGTCTTTTCCAGATGAGGAGGGGATTTGTCTTTAAGCATGCAATGTGTGGGGTTGGGGATTTAGCTCAGTGGTAGAGCCCTTGCCTAGCACGCACAAGGTCCTGGGTTCGGCCCTCAGCCCTGGGGGAAGAAAAAAAAAATGAAGTGTGGATGGCATTGCACTTTATTTTCCCCTATTCCACTGAATGAGTTTTATTTTGAGATATCAAAGTGTCAGCATGTGATTCTAAATCTTCGATGGCTTGCTCTGCCCTGCCAGCTCCCTGCCCCCAAACCGTTTTGTTCCATTTTTTTCTCGGTCTTCTTTGTGTCATTCCCCTAAATAGAAGCGACATCGGGGCCTTAGTTCATTTGTCTCTGCCTGTTGCCCTGCTGTGGGTGAAGCTCATACCATCCCTCTCTGGCTCTATACCTTAGGAGCCTTTCCTAGAGTTGAGGTGAAAAGTCCAGTCTTGGTGAGCAGCACTTTGCTTCATCTTTTCCCTCATCCTCTATTTACCAAAGAAGGCCAGGCAATATCTTTTTCCTTCAAACTTCTCATCTGTTTGTCTACTTCCTTTTACAAAACCTGATCGAACTGAGAAATTTTATTGCTTATTAGCAGATGATCAACCAGTATCTTCATAAGTTGGAGAAGGGGACAGCCACCCCTCAGGATACCATTTTCTTTGGTGCAGGAGTTTGAGGGTCTCTGCCAATCTGCTCTTGAGGGGCTTCAGACTTGGCTTCCACCAGCACTTTGAAAAGAGGAATCTGGAGTTGTGATATCACCATATTTGGTACACAGGCCAGAGTCTGCGGACATCTGTGGGGCACACACCCATTCATATTGTAACTTAATTTCTAAACGGCTCACAATATAGCCTTTCATTCTGTGTCCCACAAGGAGTGGGTGGGCGGAACTTTGTGTTATGTACCATGGTAGAGATAAAGAATATGGCACTACTAGTCCAGCTTTTTAAGAAACTTATAATCCAGTTGTCTAAACCTAAAAGTGTTTTAAAAGTATGATGTTCTAGAGATACTCTTTAAGAAAATTATAGTTAATGTAAGTTGATGCAATTGTTATTGTGGTTTAAAAAAAAAAAAAACTCCTTTTTAAGTGGTTGTACGCTCTAAGTCCCATTAGCACCTCACCCAGCCACCAACTCCCACCCACATTCCTGAATAGCTGTATTCCAGATAGTGGGCGCACAGTTATGAATTGATCTCCAATGTGGGTAAAGCTAATAAATGTGATTTAGGATGAAAGGTACTGTGTAAGTGCTTGAGATGTTGTTATTACTGTTCTCATGTGCTTTATTATTTTTAAATTGTGCATCCTTTTAAGTAGATTATTTGTTCGCCACAGTCTCCATTATATCTAAGCAAAGCATTCACAGAAATTTCTAAAACCTTTTCATTTCTCTCTGTAGGTTGTTGTTTCGTAACATTTTATACAAGAAAAGCTGCACTTGAGGCCCAGAATGCACTGCACAATATTAAAACTTTACCTGGGGTGAGTCGGTTTACTTTTGTACCAAAATCACTTTATTGCTTGAAAATGGTCTTTTCAACTGAAGGTTCTAGTTATGGGTTCTTAGTGCCAAAAATGACTTTGGTCTTTTGAGGAGTGTGGGCTGACCCCTCTGTTCCCCACAGCAGCCAAACCCGCTGGCCAGCCCATAAAGGCGTGCTGGCATTAACTCCGACGGCAAGAGCTCTCACATAGCCTGTCCCCTGGTTAGAAAATCAGAGTGACCCCACTGGGTACAGCAGGTGCCAAAGGGTATTGGGTGGGCTGAGATTTTAAAAGAAAAAAAACAACCCAATACACACAAGCGAAGCAAATGGAAAAGTAAAAGCTTTTACTCACCAGGAGCCCCTTTTCAAATTTAGTCTTTGGATTTTTCTTTTGAAAGGACAAAATGTACCCTGTACAGCCATAATATTAAGCCTCCTAATGATTTCTAAACAGTCAATGGTGGTTAACAAAGTCAATGTTTTAATGCCCAATTTGGGGCTTTGTGTTGATACAGAACAGAAAATACAAAGCTTACCATCTTTTTTTTTTCCATTTCCTTCACAATAATATTTGATGATTAGTGCAATTCACTAGAAATGAACCAATGTTGCATACAGCAACTTCATCCGAGTATTTTATTCTTAAGGGACTCTGTGGTATTTTTGTACATTGCATGCTGGTATAAACTTCTGAATGCTGTTCAGATATTTTCCCCATTTGCCCAAATATCAGTGATGAGTTAATTGTGTAACATAACAGTATGCATTGGTTATGATGAAGAACTTGTGGGAAACCTGTGATGATGATGATGATCTTATTAAAATCTGATTTGATAAGAATAAAAGAAAGATCAGATAGCCATTTTTGAGCAAATAAAAGATCAAAAACCTGATTTGATAAGAATAAAAAAAATATCAAATAACCGTTTTCAGGGTGTGGCTGCATGTCACAGTAAGCATGCACAGACGTGTGCACATTTTAACATAGGCACATGTAAGTAAGTGTCTGTCTTATCCCCCTTTCTCCCAGAAAACATAGCATTTGTTTAATTCACCCTAGACCCTGAACATTGTATGGTATTTATAGTGGCAAGATGCTCAATAAAATATTCTCCAAATATTAGCTCGTTAATTACCCCAAAGTAATAAATCTTGAACCTTGATCTTGAATCATACCACTTTGGTTTTCCCTTTTTTTTATGACAGCAAATCAAAGAACAGAAAAGCAAGTGTATGTAACTAGGACAGTCCCTCCCAATTTAACTACTTCTCCCTGCAACTTCCAAGTTGGTTTTTAGTAAGGCTGCCGTTATTAAAGTCTAAGTGCTTTGCTTAGTGACCTAAAGGGGGGGGGGAGTATTTCAGTTTCATTCTCTATGTAAATGGAATTTTTATAACGTAATTCTAGAAGATTGCAGTGTTAGATCATATTATTGAATGAAGCAACCAAGGCAGATTCTGGCTGAGCCAACAGTAGAGGAAAATAATTTTTTTTTATTCCAGATTTTTATTCAAATGCAAAGACCACTTTGTGTTCCTTCTCTTAAAAATAAATGCTTCACAATAATGAGCATACCACTCTGTAGGTGTGTTTTAAGAATTGCTCGAGATGATGAATTGTTATTTATTATTTAAAGTATAGTATAGTTTGCCAAATAGCACCATATTCTAACTGAATGCAGAGCTTGGTTAATTTGCATGCATCCCCTCCACTAGAAGCACAGCCTGAGCATACCTCTTCCTGGGGAGATGCTCTCCAGGGATCCACACTGGTGTGGATAGGGCATGTCGAAGCACATGGAAGTACTGATGATCGTACATCTGTTTGGGATAGCTTACTCTGACCCTGTTCTCAGTAAACAAATAACACCTTCAGTAATTTTTTTTTTTTTAATATTGCACCTTTTCTTTCCCCTTAGAAATTCTGCATGTAGAATTTAGAAGTGGCAACTTTGGAGACCCATTATGAAGGATAGTAATTTGGAAGCTGGAAAAGCTCATTGGTAGATTGTTTTTGGATTTGTTTTTTACCCATTTCAGTTTTATATGTCCAATTACTTGAGACAGGGTAAACAAAAACTCGAAGTCAGATCTCATTTGTAAGGCGGATAGCCCTTACAGTGTGCAACACTTGCTGTTGCCATTTCAAAGTGGTAAATGGGGACAGAGGTCCACATCTCCCATTTGTGTACAGCTTGATCTGATCAGCATCACCCTTAACAGCTGCAGGAAATGCATGAAAGTGGTTGCCTTTCAGTTATGTGCCTTTGGTGGACAGGAAGAAATGGGACCAGACATGAAAGATTAATGCATATTCTTGGGGAAAAAAATATTACAGTGTGCCTTGCTGTTTGATTACAAGCCTTGGAATTAGTCAACATTTCCATAATTCTAAACCAATATACACCTGTTTTCCCACTGTGATGTGAAGGCACAACTTAATTTAACAGAAACCCTGCTGTGCTAAACCTCTCATTAAATACCAAGTGAGTTCGGTAATTTAAAGTTGTAGCACTACTATTTTAACTGGTTGCCTTCATATTATGAAATTAATAAGAAATTAATGATGCACTTTGCCATATGCCTTCAATTTCTTTCTGAATAAAAATAAAAGGGATAAAGAAAAATGCATCACCAGCTGACACTTTAAAGCTTTTCTGGTTGTAATCATTTTCCTGCAGATAAAATCCATTAAAAAGGCACTTGCTGCCTTTTTTTTCTAAAGTGTCCAAAACTTTCAATTTATAACAAGATCAAATAGTGCTGTGTTGTTTTCTTCCTACCCACCCCCCATGTAATTTTCTTTTGCAGTTGATGTTTTGAATCATAAGGAACTTTTATCATGCAACCAAACTTAATTAGTGTTTCAGGGTTTGCTTTTTCCTTTATGCACCATGTCCCTGTCTTGAAGGGAACAAAGGACTTGGTTGGTACAGGAGGGGAAACAAACTGATAGGATTCTCTGTTTTGCAGGGGAGCTTGTCTCCTCTTTGATTTTAATTTAAAGGCACCCTCCTTTTTATGTGCTTCCTAGACTTTGGAGATCCTCTTTCCTGGGGGCAGGAGAAAGGATGGGGGGATTGAGGTACAGGATCAGAGCCTTACTGATCAGTGCAAAATAAGTGGGGACACATTTCTCAAAACTGGCCTCTTGCTATGTAACGGAGAAAGATAACAGATCTTATATCTTCAGAAAGTTCAACATAAATCCCAGAAATATAGTAGTTGAAATAAAAGAAGTAAATTTTACAGCTCACCATGGACAGTAAGGAATAAGAGACTGGGAGTCACGTCCTTGGTTTGATCAAGCGCTCTAGAAATTGTTGCTTGATGCTTAAGCAAAGGATCAGATCTTAGGTTTGGTGCCCATTTATTATTGGTATTTCATGAGATTAATAAACCACAAATGATGATTGAGTGCCTACTCTGTGCTATGTACTAAAGTAGATATTGGAAGGAGAGGGCAGACAGCAAGCCCAATATGGCCTCCAAGTGGCCTATCTATAAGGATGGACAGTGGATAGGCACCTACTACATGCTTGGTTTGTGCTTTAGTGCTTTTCTGCTTCTGATGAAATACTGGTTCCATGCATGACTGTCCTTGAGATCCCTACAAAGTAGCACTTTTACAGCCTGAAGGGATATGATAGCTCTGTGTGCTTGGGCTGGGCTGCTTGAGGAGCCTCTGACTGTAGTGCAGCATTATTAGATCGGCATTTCCCACTGCCGTGCCATTTGCGTTCTCCGACAAACTTTGGTTGTTTCTGCTTTCATGGTGCCACAAACTGGGTGTGAGGAGAGCCTCCTTCATTGAGCATTTCAGGTAGGCACCACTGACAGGTCGTGCCATTCAGCAGAAATGTCATTGTCTATCCTTATGGATCCCAGAGAGAAATCCTCATAAAAGCCACCTGGAAGATTCATTTTATTTTCATGGACCTAATTTAACTCTATTAAAAAATAAAATAAAATAAAAAGACCTTGAATGAAGCACAGAAAAACTACCAAGACCTTTCAATAATCAGATTGTCAAGGCCAAAAATCCTTGTGCCAGTGTCAGCACCGTGCCTTATGTCATTCCTTTTTCAAGGTCTTAACACATATCGTCTCCAGCAATAAGGCTTTTTGATTGGAAATCCACAGCAGTGTCATTAGAGCATTCACTGTATAAATTAATTTAATTAAGGATGTAATAACAGAGAGGAATACAGTTTTGAAAAAGCTCTTAAATTTTAACAGCAAGGAGGAATCTGGAATCTAAATGTCTTGTAAAATATTAATTGCAAATTTCTTCCAGACATTTTCTCTGAGTATGCCTCACCCTTTTCTTTTTAGAATCACTACCAGTTTTATTAAATGCAGTTTATATTAAGGAGTTACTGCCCTAAGAGAACATTTGTTTAGCGCACTCCATTTCAGCGGTGGCTCACTGGAAGGTATTTTATAACAACACACACACAATCTGAGCAAGGACGACACGTAGATTTGAGATATAAAAATAAATGAGCCTCATCCAGTGGGAGGAAGATGTAAATAAAGTGGCCTCCTGGGACCTGCGTGTTCACCCACCAGAAGTGAATGGGCCTTTTCCTGGCCTGCCCTGGAGATGATTTACCTGTGTGGGCAGGCACCTTCTCCCAAGCGGGCTTTAGCTCAGCCCTCTGTAGGATTGTCCCTGTGTCCTTTACTGGTGGAATCTGGGGCTTACTCTTTTCAGCAGAACAGCTTGACACTTTCTCTTAATTTCCCCATTGTAATATATTTAAGGTACTCATTTTCTTTGAAATGCCTCTCCTGATATCTTTAATGCCTTTGATCTCAGAGCCATGATTATTAATATTTTTGCCACTATCACCACCATCATTATTATTGCTGTCATTATCTCTCAACCCTCATCTCCTCCAGACATGGGAAATTTTCTCCTACAATGCTCCATCTGAATCGCAACCAAAGGGATTTTTTATTTTGTTTTGTTTTCCTCAGATGCCTTTCATT